TCTTGGCAAATCTAATCTCTCTTTAGCAGCAGCCCATTCACTGTAAACCGTTAAATGCTCATTTACAACTGAAGGGAGACGTGTCCTTGAGGGAAAACAAGACGGGGAGAGAGAGCGACAGGAAGATAAAAACCTGATTTATGATTTCCCTGCTGTGGACTGATGGGAGCGTACACTGATCGTCTGGTGGAGAGAGGCAGTGGCATTAGCTATGTGGGGGCTGACAGATGTGTCACAGTGGGTATCGGTAATGAGCCTGCTTGCTGACATGAGCGGAAATCAAAAGGCTACAGAAAGAGGCCCCTGACGCAGGCAGAGGTAGAAGAGGTGGTGCTGAAGCTGAGAAGAAAAGGGCCGGATGGAGGGAAGCTGGCATTCACTTCGGAGAGCTGAAGGAAGAATCTCTAAGCAGACTGTTTCTGCTCTGTGTTTGGGACTGAGATGTTCCAGAGCACTGGGGTAGGTTTATCTTCCTCCTGCAGGGAACTGAGCGGGAGGCTTGGCATTCTCCTGGGTATAGCTGGCTCAGGTTTCCAGCAGGATGCTGACCTCCAATTGCCAGCCAGGCTGTGTGTCTGCCAGTGACCGGAGTTAACAGGCTTTTCATCAGGATTCTTCTCCAGGAATATGGGCAGCATACCCAGACTGCTGGTAATTGCAGGCAGTGGTTCCACAAGGAAAGGGCCAGTAGCTTATTATCAGCTAGAGAAGGTCATGGAGTGTAAGATGAGAAGCAGATGTGAGGAGAGAGGGAGCAGGAAAATACTGTCTGTCTACTTGAGCCTGCAGAGAGAATGAGTGCCTGGCTAGATGTGCTGACTGGCTGTTTGGGCAAATCTCTGTAGGTCACTCTGAAAACATCCGCTCAGTGTGCAGCGGCAGTCAAACAAGCGACCAGTGTGAGGAGCCATTAGGAAAGAGAGAGAAAATAAAATAGAAAATATCATAATGCCACTATATAAACCCATGGTACGCCCACACCTTGAATACTGCCTGCAGAGCTGGTCGTCCCATCTCAGAAAAAATATCAGAATTGGAAAAGGTACAGAGAAGGGCAACACAAATGATATGGGGTATGGAACAGCTTCCATATGAGGAGAGATTAAAAAGACTAGGACTGTTCAGCTTGGAAAAGGGACAACTAAGGGGGGATATAATAGAAGTCTATAAAATCATGACTGGTGTGGAGAAAGTGAATAGGGAAGTGTTATTTACCTCTTCACATAACACAAGAACCAGGGGTCACCCAATGAAATTAATAGGCAGCAGGTTTAAATCAAACATAAGGATGTACTTCTTCATATAACGCACAGTCAACCTGAGGAACTCTTTGCCAGGGGATGTTGTGAAAGCCAATAACTGGGTTCAAAAAAATTGGATAAGTTCCTGGAGGATAAGTCCATCAATTGCTATTAGTCAAGCTGGTCGGGGATCGCAACCCCATGCTTTGGTGTCCCTAAACCACTGACTGCTAGAAGCTGGGACTGGACAACAGGGGATGGATCACTCAATAATTGCCCTGTTCTGTTCATTCCCTTTGAAACATCTGGCATTGGCCACTGTCAGAAGACAGGATACTGGACTAGATGGCCCATTGCTCTGACCCATTGTGGGCATTCTTATGGTCTGAATATTACTCCGGAAGGATCGGGGCAGGTTTTCTACAAATCAATTACTTCCTGACAATGAGGAGCCGCTAGTCAAGCTGGACATGTTGCCTCTAGCCCTGCGTGTGGTGGCCCTGAAGCTGAATGACCCTGCGTGCACCCCTGTCCCTTTGCCGGGACTTTGAAGAATTAGGGGGTTGCGTTTTTGCTTGTTTTCTACCTTCCTGAACCGTTTCCTCACTCCAGACTTCACCTTAAAACCTCCCTTTTTGCAGTCCCATCACTTGGGATCTTTACTGCTAGATTTGGCCACATACTGCGGGGTGAGCAGTCCTACACTGGTTGCGGAGATTGGCTGACGTGTGACACTGATGACGTTTCCTGTCTCTGGGTTTTGTGGTTGTCTGATCATGTCTGAACCCCTTCAGCTTGCAGCTGGCCAGAGGTCAGATTTTGGTCTCAGGTGCCCAAGGGGACGACAGATCAAGTTGGGCAACCAGGTCCTCAGTCTGTAATTTACTGCAAGTGCTACATACTTTCCACTGCATTCACCTCTTTACCCCTTATGGGTGTCTTGCATCCCCATGGGTACTAGCAGGGGCCAATCCAGCCCGCACAAGCTCTGCAGCTGTGCCCAGCTTCTGGTCAGGGTGCAAGATGGGGGGAGAGAGTCTTCTTGTGCCTCTCCCCACTTCCTGTGCACCTGTGGAGTGAACAGCTGGTCACCTTGGAGCCCTGTATTTCTGTGCATGTTACACATTGTAGGCCAGCAGCAGAAATGGTGCAGTTCTGCTGCCCTGGGGAGAAAGCCAGAGCCTGTGCCATTTGCATTGAGATCATCTAAGAAATAAAAAACGTGAGCAATTCTGTACCTGAAGGTGGCTGTTACAAGCTGCATGTGGGAAATAATTTGATACTAGGTCCCCCACCCCCAGCAAACCCTGGGCTGGCATGGCTTGAGTCTGAGAGAAATGAATCTCGCATGCGGTGTCTGAGACTGAAGACTCTGGGCTTTAACCTCCAACTGCAAATATTTCAAATCTCATCAATTTCGATCTTCAGTAGTATTTGCTCAACAAATGTTACCTCTGAAGATTGAAATTCAGTTTTTTACCTGCCATTTACGTTATTGCACAAAGATGCTTCAGGCAACTGTTTACTTCTGAACTCAAGCTGCGGAAAGGGTTGGAGTTAGTGGCTGTGGCTGTGTAAATCATTCAGGTCAGAGCTGTTCTCTAGCACGTTAGACCGATGCACATACAACAGTGCTGAGAAATGCACTGTGCGTGTTGTCAATTCCTGTGTGTGTTTCAGGGGGAAGCTCAAGAACTGTGGGTGTGGGCTCATTTACATTTTTCTGAGTAGATCTGTGTAGTTAAAGAAACATGGTCTGTCATAACGAATGAGCAGAACAGGGTTCCTTTCAAGTCAGGATTGCGAGCAGCCACATCTCTTAGGGGCAAATCCAGATCACAGCTTTTGGTCCAAGGAGCAGATTGGTTGCTGGGGAGATAGATATTTGGAGGAATGAATCTTGGAGCATCTCCACAGATGTTATTTCAGCCCAAGGACTGATGTGGAGCCTTTATGCAGCTGCCATTGGATGGGCAGGACCAGGAGGAGCTGCCCTGTCCCTTGCTCTGCCCACCCAGCCTCCTCTTACACAGCAAAACCAAACCTCTTTGTCTGACTACAAGGGGTGTCTGCGTTTGCTCCTAGCAGAACACCCCCCAAGAGGCCTCATTGACTTACACAGGAGATGTCACTGCTAAAAGCTTCACACCTTGCAGGGTAAATTAGAGACTCAAATCTTCAGTAAGTCCTAGGCGCTGTAGCTGGCATTTTCAAAGTTGCCACCAAATTTGGTTGCCTACGTTTTTGGGTGCCTGACATGAGACATCTCACAGGATTTAAGGCCAGATCATGATCATCTAGTCTGACCTCGTGCACATTGCAGGACGCAGAACTTCCCCCATCCACTCCCGTAATAGACCCCCAACCTCTGGCTGAGGTACTGAAGTCCTCACATCATGGTTTAAAAACTTCAAGTTACAGTGAATCCACCATTTACTCCAGTTTAAACCTGCAAGTGACTCCAGCCCCATGCTGCAGAGAGAAGCGAAAACCCCGAGGGTCTCTGCCAATCTGACCTGGGGGGAAATTCCTTCCTCACCCCAAATATGGAGATCAGTTAGACCGTGAGCATGTGGGCAAGACCCACCAGCCAGACACTTGGGAGAGAATTCTCTGTAGTAACTCAGAGCCCTCCCCATCTAGTGTCCCATCTCCGGCCATTGGGGATGTTTGCTACTGACAGTTGTGGATGGGTCATATGCCATTGTAGGCAACCTCATCATTCCATCCCCTCCGTAAACTTATCAAGCTCAGTCTTGAAGCCAGTTAGGTTTTTTGCCCCCACTGCTCCCCTGGGAAGGTTGTTCCAGATGGTTAGAAACCTTCGCCTAATTTCAAGCCTAAACTTGTTGATGGCCAGTTTATATCCATTTGATCTTGTGTCAATTGGTGCTTAACTTAAATAGTTCCTCTCCCACCATGGTATTTATCCCTCTGATGTATTTTTATAGATAATCATATCTCCCCTCAGCCTTTGTTTGGTTATGCTAAACAAGCCAAGCTTGAGTCTCCTTTCGTAGGGTAAGTTTTCCATTCCGCTGCACCTGTTCCAGTTTGAATTCATCTTCCTTAAACCCGGGAGACCAGAACTGCACGCAGTACCCCAGATTTTTGAATGTGCTGAGCCCGCAGAACTTCTACTGAAGTCAGTGGGAGCTGCAGGTGCTCGGCACCTCTGCAAATGAGAGATTCAAGATGGGAACCCAAAAACGAAGAGACACCGACAATTAGAGGCCACATTTGAAAACATGGCCCTTAACTTGTTCTGTCCCTGTTCTCAATAGTAGAAATGCTCAGGCTGCACATGAAGAATGTCAGCAGACTCACATTGCCCAGCTTGAAATATCCAAAGACTTTAGAGAAGGAGTACAAAACGTCCTTGGATGGATGCATCTGGTCTGTTGCAATGAAGTGCTCCCCGTGGAAGGGCTGCTAACGCTGCGTTCAGTCCCCTGCTTCAGTTTAGTTCCCTGTTGTTGCAGACGTTGTCAGTAGGCAATCGCAAGGGAATGGTGACTGGGCTGTTGCTAGGAATGTCGTGCTCCTCCTCCAGATCTAGTGAGAGCTTGGACCAAGGGGTCGTTAGAAGGGCAGAAGACACTGAAATTAACATCCATTGTCTTCCTTCATTTATCACAATGATATGCTGTCCTGGTTTGTTCCTCTAAGCTGTAGTTTAGCTGTCCAATAACTATGTTTTAAATTGGGAACTTCCAGCCAAGCATCTCGGATGATTGCACTATGTTCCTTTTCATCCAGGGCCTCTGAAAGTACAGTGCTACTCTGAAAATTGGCTCAGTAAAGATGGTATCATGGAGCTTCATGTGATCTGTCAGTGATTCCATTTCACAAGAACTCACTGGACCTGATTCTGATCTAGGCTACACTAAGGTAAATCAATAGTAACTTCACTTGAGTTTCATTGGAGTAAAACAGGTGTGAGGTCCAGAATCCGGCCCAGTTTGTTTTTCTAGCTGCCAGCCCTGCACACTCAACATCATGTTAGTGAGTCGAGCTAGGTTCTCCCTGGATTACACATCACCATCAGTAATTAAGATTAGTTAGTTAGGTTAGTTAGACCAGTCCAAACCATTGCCTTCAAAATCTTCCTTATTTCTTTTTGTGGGGTTACACAGCTGTAGCTGAAGGGATAACCTGGCCCTGTTTATGATTTGTTTGAGCCAGAATTGAATCCAGCTCCTTCTCCCACAGCTGTGTGGAACCTGCATAATGTTAACAGGAGTAAAATGTACCAAAATGGTATTTTGTCTCTAGTCAGCTGAGCCTAGGCCGCTGCCCACAGGGAGCAGGTTGTGCCGTTTGCGTGTGTCATTTTTACATGGTCACGTTGGATTATAGAAGTTACCATAGCTTGCAAGCCAAAAGAAATCTTGTTGGAATTTTCTCTAGTCTGCCACAAAAACTGTGGAGTAGTAACATTCTGGAAATAATTAAAATACATTAATGAAAGATGGCCTACAGAGGAACAAAATGGGCTTGTGCCCTTTTATGATGCTCTGTGATGGATAAAGGCTTGTTGAGTTTTTTTAAAATTAAAGTGGTTTTCCCCCCTGATTATTTTTGCCATTAGAATTTCAGGTCTTGCCTCGCTTGAAGGTCTTTGATGGGAGAGCTAGTGAAATGATGACACTGATCACAAGATGATCAATCACGAATGGTCTCCAGAGCCAACAGAGTGAAATTGGAGCAATTCAGAGGGGAAGGGATTTTTTACTCAGGCCTGTTCTACACATAGTATTTGTACCAATAACTGTGTCAGTTTGCGGGTGATTTTTTTACCCATATCCTTATACCAGTACAGCTCCTAGTGTTGATGCAGTTATACGAGTATAAAGATGGCTTATTCTGGGATATCTTATTCCCATACAGAAATAAACTATTCTGCTATAAGCATGTGTAGACAGATATAACTGCATCCACGTAAGTGGATGGGGGTGTGTGTCTACCACTCTAACTACAAACTGATGCGTAGACCAGGCTATCGGAATCCTTCTCACACTGTCAAACATCGCTCAGGGCATGGATAAGGTCCTGCTCTCCTGGGCCACTCTTTGCATGTCCTTTCTGTTGTTAAGTCCCATAATTCCATCTGAGTAACATTTGATGGAGGGATTCTTTCGGTCGGCCCTTTTTGCATGTTCCTCCAGCTGCCCCATACCTACTACGGCAGATGCTCCGACTTCGTTCCTAACATAAGTCCCTGATGTCTCCATCTTCCTTTCTGGATAAATTTGGAGGTTGGGAGTTGTTGATTCAGGGCCACAGATGAATAAACGTGACCCACCTTTCAGGCCTTCCTTATGCTCATAAAGAAACAAACTAGGACCCAAATCAATGTTTTATAGTCATTTTAAAGCAATAACAATACACTCTGGAGTTTGATGTCTGTTGTACTGTCATTACTTAGAAAGCACCTAGACCTGCAATGATCCCATTCCAGAGCAGGTCTGCCAAGAAGCAGATAGAATTGCCATGTTCGCCCGGGCTGCAGGTTTGTGCTCTGTCATGATGTGTTTATTTTATTGATTTCTACAGCACCTGGCACCTCGCAGCACATTGACAAAGTTAAAGCACGTTAATTATGTAAAAATGTGAGAGGAAAAATGCAAATGAAAGAGAGAGCACAGAAATGTGCTTCGCATTGTGCCCTGAAAGCTAATGCTCCCGTGTGTATTAAAAGATGCTAACTATCGTGGTTTTCTCCAGGCGGCTTAGTCTCAGTGATGCTTCATTATCCCTTGATCAAAAGACAGTTGCTGATAGGGATGGAGGAAACACAGACATGCCAGGTTTGGCAGTGAAGCCATGCTGTGGAACTGCAGCAGGAATATTGTTAATGAATCCCTGGGGAATCCACACAAGGTCTCCAGTCATTGCTACGCCGTATCTGCTCCAGAACTGCCACGTTCCGGCTGGAGGGGGGGGGACTTAAAAGGACTGAAGGGAGATTTTAACTCCCTTTTTGTTTTCTCTGCACTGTTTTGGTTTCCTGCATTGCTATAATTTGCTTCCATCTCCCCCACATTCCATCCCCACCTCCACTGTTCTCTAGAAGCGACACTATTTAAGGCTCAAATGGTACTTAAACGGTGCATAATAAACCTTGCGTTGGTTTACTGCATAGGGGTAAATATCACCCTAAGTCCAGCTTTAATTAGATAGACTATTTTTCTTCCTTCTCATCTTACGAGGCTATGTAGTGTTGCTGTGCAGTGTCAGATGGCAACCATGTTCCACCCAAGAGCTGGCTGTATTTCAGTGGTACATTGTTGCCCCACATACTGTATCAAGCCAAATTCTGGATTCCTGTGAAAATGCTCCTCAGATGAGTGCACCCATATGCTTAAATGTACCATAAGCAGCACCTGTTTTCTTCCTGGCCAAAACCATCTGTCACATGGCAGCCCCACCTGGAGTGCCCTCCTGTGGCAGTCCCTGGCACAACAGGCAAGTTTGCCTCAGTTTCCCTCCGTAAAGTCTTCCCAAGTACAATATAGCCCTTGTGGGGTTCATTTATTGTAAAAGATCCATGCACATAAACTATAAGAGAACAAGTCCCAACACCAAGTCCAACAACCATAGTCCAGACTGTACGTTAAGTAGATTGCTGGCTTCCCTCACTGCGCCTCAGCCTCCCTCATTGCGCCCTGGCTCTTTGGTGAGGCCCCAGCCTCCCTCACCGCGCACCAGGTCTCCAGCGCAGCCCCAGCCTCCCTCACCGTGCCGCAGCTCTCCAGCGCAGCCCTAGCCTCCCTCACTGCAGCCTCTCTCATCTCATTCCCCTCTGCTGCTCTCAGCCGTCAACCCTCTCAGCCTGTCCCCTCTCTGGCTCAGGAGGGACAGCTGACTAGCACTTCCACAGGCTTCCTGGCCCTCAGCCAAATAGTTCCCAAACGGTGGGGCATGCCCCCTGAGGGGGCCATGGCAGAACATTTGAGGGGCACATGGTGGCACCTGGGCCAGTCGCTACAGAGGGCAGGGAGATAGCGCCATGCTGCCAGCCCTGCCACGCCCCCAAACCAGCTCTGTCCCCAACTCCGTTCAGCTCCCAGTCCTGCTCCGCCCCCAGTCCCAGTCCGCCCCCAGCCCAGCTCCGCCCTCATTTCCTCTCTGTCCCCAGCCAAGCTCCTCCTCCATCCCCAGCTCTGCCTTCAGCCCGAGCTCCGTGGCTGAGGAAACCCTGGCTGTGCAGCAGTGGAGGGAGATGCGGACAGATTCTGTTAATTGTAAGGGGGCCGTGACTGGAAAAGTTTGCGCACTGCTGCCTCGGCCCTTTGGCATTGGCTCAGGAAGGTCAGCCAGCGAGTCTCTCCACTGGCTGCCGGATAATGACTCCTGCTTTCCTGGAAAGGCCTGCAAAGAGCCTTCTGCTTTCAGCAGCTTTCCCCAGCGACCTGCCCCAGTCTCCTGATTTTTCCTGACTGCCTTTCTCCAGGTCTCACCCCACTCAGATTCTGCCTGATCCTTTACAGTCTCATGTGCTGTCCCACCCTCTTAATTGGCCAAAGGGGAGCACCCTGTGACACCATCACATGCACAGTACAGCCCCAATCCCGCACAGGTGAGTCCTGCTAGGGGCATGACCGATCCATGGAGGAGTGAGGGAGTGGGGCATGGATGCCATTGCTCTGTTGAGGGCATGTGCAAAACCTACACTGGAGCTTCCTGCCATGAGAACCTTGCAGAGCAGCCTCTCCTGGAGTCTTGGGGCATCCAGAATAAAGGGGACAACATCAACCCTCTGCTAGATGAGAGGTCCTGGTGGGCACCCCCTGGGCAATGTCCCGGGCACAATCTGATCGTACACTGGCTCTGCCCATGAGAAGCAGCTTGCAGGAGAAGGCCTTAGTTTAGAGAGGGCTCTGGGATCCTTTAGGATGAAAAGCACCTCAGTGATGGGTAGGGCATAAGGGCATTGAAGTCAATGGGAATCCCTAAAATGCCTAGATGGGGTAGCTAATGTCAGCTATTATTGCTGGTAGCGGAGCCTGAAAACTGCTGGTGTCATGAGGGAAACGGAAAGCTCTGAATGTGTTTAACTGTTAGTAACTCGGAGTTGTGCCGTCCAAGAACTAAGGCACTGGCTAAAAGACGGCTGTGTTCATTTGGCTGCAGCAATCTGAGCGGTCACGAGGTAAGAGTCTTCTCCATGTGAACAAGCAGTGCAGCGGAGATGAAAACACATGCACAGTGCCATCCTTTGTGTTGCTGTGCAGTTTGGTGAGCCAGTACGTTAGTGCACGCGGGCTCTGGAGTAAAAGTGCTGCCACAAAATGTTCAGAGCCAGCCACATTTTTAAATTCTACAAGCCATATTTCATATTGTGAAATCACGTAAAAATGTTTTCTTGCTCATTTAGAACATCACTTAGTGAGCTATTCTGATACAGGACAATATAAGCACTAATACTTATACTAGTGCATTAGGAATTATCACATGCGTCTGACGAAGTGGGTATTCAGCCACGAAAGCTCATGCTCCAATACGTCTGTTAGTCTGTAAGGTGCCATAGGACTCTTTGTCACTTTTTATAGTGCCATAGTGGCTTTGAATCTGAACTTCTTTGCTTTTATGAATTTATGACTCACCTTTCCTGTTACCTTTTGGGTCTTTAGCACTTTGAATAGCTAACAGTTACCCACACAGAAAAACCTTTACAAAACTGTGCTAAAGAACGTTAAGGTTGCAAAGTCAAGCACTCAGAAATTAGGAAATGTCACAATTAAGCTTGCCCATGCAATGGCAGTTTAGCCCCCACATTTGTATGCATGATGGTACAGTCTTTAATGATGTGATTAGGCTCTGCTCTGCCTCGTTCAGCCCTACTCTGCCCTGCAGCTTGGGCTGGAGTATGCCTGGTAGAGACGGAATGGTGAAATAATTTAGCTGCCTGACTCTGAAATCTCTACTGAGCATGTGCAAACTGAGATTCTCAGAGATTTATAAGTTGGCCAAATTTAGGCACATTTTCGTGGGGACAACAAAAGGCACATCTGTGACACACTGACATCTGTGCTCCAAAACAGGGAGGCACTTAAGCTCCTCAGTGAAACACTTACAAGAATTTTTTAACATGGGCAAACAATACTTTCCCTTTGTTCTTGGAAACCGCTGAACTATTTTAGATGAAACTTTTGAAAAAAGAATAAATCAACACACAATAAAAACAGAAACGCAACCACCACCACCAAATAAACAACACGGCCTGAAGCAGACACTCACATGGAAAATTTCAAACCAAGTGATTAAAGTTTGGCAAAGTTATAAGCAACTGAAAATGAAGTCTTACAGTGGAAAATGTTAGGCAGCCTTAACTGTAGGTATAGGTACCAGCTCTGCCAACAGTAGTATAGCGCTTTTCAATGGTAGATTTCCTAGTGTTCCGCAAAGGTGGGAAAATATTGCTATCTTCACTTGATGGGCGGGAAGCTGAAAACACAGAGTGGTTAAGTGACCTGTCCAAGGTCGCCCAGCTAATTAATGGCAGAATTGGGAAGAGAACACAGACCTCTGGACTCCCAGTTTAGTGCCCCGCCTCCTTTTTATAGCTTAAATGGAAGTGAATCTTTTCACTGTCCTGTGGACAGGTGCCATACACCTGGAATGGTGGCACCCCGATGACCCTGCACTGTTGTGTTCTGTTACAGCTTTGCCATGCCTGCGTTTGCACAGTAGATGGTGCTCAGTGAGCTCATGATGATAGGGGCTGCTTTTTCAGGTGCACATATTTTCTTTTTGATAGTTTGGTTAGTCCATATCCCATTGTCAGCACCCATAAGGCAACTGGATTTTATATGGGGAACATGTACTATTAGATTTGTCACCTTCTTTCTCCTCCCTCCCCCCCCCCCAGCCTCCTTGTTTGTATTGTTCTCCTATTAAGTCTTGTCTTCTGGAATTTGGGACAGGAAGCGTCGTTTCTTATGTATCTGTATAATGCCTATCACAGTGAGGCCCAGCCAGTTTTGTGGTCTTTATGTGCTACCACAATATACATGTCAAGAACAACAGTAATTAATAATAACAATACAGATGCTAAGGAATGTTTGCACATATTTCACACATGCATTGGAACGATAGCTTCATTCGAAAGGGTTCATTTTTGGTTGATAGCTGCAGAAGCCCAGGGCATTTTGAGGCGATGAAATTATGTTGGCAAAGTCTGCGGCCAGAAGCAGCCTATCTTTCAACTGCTGGTGTATCAGGTTTTTAAAGCTTTAGGGGACAGGCTAATTCTTCCTTTATAAATAGACTTGAAGACCTTGTCTTGTGTTCTGGGCCCTGCATTTTAACAATGTGTGATCCTGGCCTGGCTGAGTATTGGAGAGCTGTCTTGTGCCTATTGCTGCTTTGTCACTGAGGTTCAATATTCCATGAAAACAAGGAGATCTGGAAAGTCATTGGAGAGGTTAAGTGAAGAGACACCAGTTTGTTGTCTGCTAGACTTTGTATTCCCTTAGCACGGAATGAGTCTGGGTTGGGTGAAAAATGCCATTAGCCATGGTCTCTTGCGTAGGGGGTGCTGTGCTAGGACTCTCTGACAGCCTCAGGCTGTTCTCTCTCCTTTTTGGGGCGGGGAGGGGGGAATAAAGAGAATAATACATAATTGGAGTGTAGATTTTTCACATTTCTCGGCTTTTTCCGAGTCTTTAGGGGGCTGGGCAGGGGACGGGCTGCTGGTGGTGATCTCTCTGATGTGCAAATGACAGACTAAGCTGCCTCTTCTCTTTGAGTTTGTAGCTGTGGCTTTTTGGAGACTTGGTTGGCAGCTGTCCCTGGTGCTGATCTGATCAGCTGCCCCCAGCAGCGGCTGCTCTCCTGGGTGGGGATTGGTTGCAGCTGCCTGCAGATTCAGTCCAGAGATTAGCTGGATCCCTCAGCAGACAGGTAGCAAGATGAACTGAGAGGGAGAGAAAGAAAACACGGGAGCAGCGTGGCAGGAGGAGGAGGTGCAGTGTCACTTCAGCTGCTGGTGTTGCAAGAACCTCCAGGGCCCCTGCAGCCACTGAGGCAGAACCAGCACCAGAACTGGGACCAGATCCATGGGGTGAGTAAAGAGCTCGCTTTGCACTTCCACTCCCAGCGTCCCGCCAAGAGCACAGAGCATAGGGGGATGTGATGGGATCTCCCCGCCCTACAGCCCACTCTTCCCTTGGACTCCCGTGGTGACAGCTGTGCTGGAGCCCCTGCTGAGCACCCTCGGGGAAAGGGACCGAGAGGTGCTGAGCGTGCTCACTGCCTCCTCTGCTGAGAGGGGGACGGCCGGCGTCTAGCCATGCAGGGTGCAGCTTACCAGCACATAGAGGGGATGGGGGGAGGGGGCGCAGCTTCCCTGAGCGCTGGATAAAGGGGGGTCTTCCTGACTGACATTTATTACCAGTCCAGGCACCAAACCCATTCACCTTCCCCTGCAATGAAATGAATAACTGGCTTTTACTTGCCAGTCAAAGAAATGACTCGCCCCGGGCAAGGAAGCAAGTGAGTGTTGCAAGCTGGGTTCATGGGTCTGGGATACAGAGATCAGCTGGAAAAGCTCTGGCTCTCATGGCCCAGCCATGTTTCATTGGCCAGGCTCAGGCTGGATGTGCTAGTGCTGCGAAGGGGCTCTGGCTGTTGTGGGCAGGGAGAGAGGAGGCAGAGGCTCTGGGATTGGGGCGGCTAATCACTTCAGTGCCCCCCCCATGCAAACTTGATTTTTAAATTCAAATTGGTCCAGTGTTATATGGTCCAGTGTTACACCAGCCTCCCCTGAGCCTAGAGACTGCCTCTGAGTAACTACTCCTCAGTCTCCCTGTGAAGCTGGACCGCACAAGAAGTCCTGGGTCCCCTGCCCACCCCCCAGACGCCCCCCTCCTGCCATCCATCCATGGGGGAGATGTGTCTAAACCTCATGGGTCACCTCTGCCTGCGGCCGCATCAGAGTGAGGTCTCCATCACCTGGCAAGGTCAGACAGAAAGACAAAGGAGCCAGTCTCTGGGGGCTGTTACTGCCTGCTGCCAAGACAAAGAGCTTGGAAGGGCTTACTCTGCTGGGGAGATGGGACAGGAGATGCGAGGGGGGGAGTATGCATGCTGCCAGCACAGGCAATTGAGATCTTTGAGTTCCTGCAGCTCAGACAGGTTCCTAGACAAACAATACATTTATTTTAACCAGCTCAGTGTGACAGGGGCAGCATGTTTTGACAGGCACATTCCAGCAGACTCCAGGCAGCTGTAAATTACGTTTCAGTTTGTTTCTTAAAGCAAGTGTATTTTAAATTATGGTGGTTCCAGCATCTGATTCTTCAGGCTGCTGCCTGGATCCTCCCCGTGGGTTTGGGATCCATGAAATAATTGAGAAGCTGTGTCAAATCGTGTCTTGGTTTTAAGGTTAGTACAGCAGAGAGAGTGCTGCAATGGTGGCGGGACTTGTTTGAAAAGAACAGGTTAGAATTACTGTGTAAAACAATCCTCCCGGGGGTATCTGTGCCCTCTGCACTGGAAGAATGGACACGGACATCTTTAATAACTGAGCTATCAACACTATTAATATCTCTATATTGCAATTTTTATGCCAAATTGGTTTCCAAAGATTCACTTGAACTACTTACATTTTTCTGATCAGATGATGGCATGTCTGAGTAAACATCTCTGTTTTCCAGTAGTCTGTTGGACA